TAAGTCTTTGAATTAATAAAGCAACGGAAAAGTCAATTCAATTTTGTTTTAAAATTATTATATAAGTAAACTTATTTGTCAAGTTGATAAAACTCTTAAGGTACACAAATTATTTTACACAATAAGAGCAATTGCCGTGAAAGAAATAAGAAAATAGAGAAAAATTTATTATAATATAGTATTAAAAGTTAAATTGCTAAAATGTTAAGTTGAAGCAATAAGGATATAACCCAAGACAAAAAAAAAAATCACAAAAATTACCCTTATCATTTTTCTTTCTTTTTATATTTATTTTAATAAATGTAGCTCCCTATATTTTTCATATCGTATTACATCATTTTTTATAATTCAATATTAGTTATTTCATACTTTATATTGTTATTTATCTATGGGTTTCTAGGAGCTATAGTTCTATCTCTACGCTCACAAATTTCTAAAAGACCCAAAGATTCAAATTCTTCAATTTATTTTATTATCTTTGAATAATTATTTTAAAGTATTTTTTTGTTATTTATTTATAGTATTTGATAATAAAGATAACAATAATTTTCATAAGATATATATTATCTCATAAATCATAATAAGATATATAAAGACTTATGTGGCGTAGCATTTCTTTGTTTAATGAGCTAGCTTAGTGAGATTAACATTCATTATTTTTAGAAACTTACATTTTCTTTCTTTGATATTTTTTCAATAACTAAAACACATTATTGAATAATATATATATAATTTTAAAATTATATATTTATTGATATAGGTACACGCGCAAAGCGCGTACCCTAATACTAGTTAAAGTATATATAGCGAGAGAGAGCGGGGGAGAGATGTGCGTTGCTTGTGCTGTATTTCTCGAAAAATAATTTTGGCTACAAAAATCAAATAAATATAGGATAAACTTAATGTTCGGCTATATGTTGCCAATATCTGTAAGTAGAGCTATTTCCTACCAATTCTTTTTATACGTAGTTAAACCATGACATTTTCCCTTTTCAATTGTTAGGATCCCGCTTTTCACTTAAAGCGATAAAATTGTACTCCTTCCGGTCCATAATAAGTGACCAATTTGCTTTGGGCACGCCCATTAAGAAAATACTAAATTCTATACAAAAATATCCAGTATGACTAAATTACCCTTAATTAAATATTTAATGTGAAGAGTAAGAAAACTTTTTTGGGATATGTACATAAGGGTAATTTTGTAAAAACAATTTGAATTTTTTCTTAATTATATAAATAGACACTTATTTTGGACTAAAATAAAAAAACAAATTTGTCACTTATTGTGGACCGGAGGGAGTAGAGTTTACATAATCTGGCCTCCTTCGAAGAAAAACCGTAAGCAGCAAAGAGGAGCTTGACCATCGTCTGCAAATATTTTTCAAGTGTTTAAAATAATTAATTAGTGAGACTTAGACTAGTATTTTTATGTAATTTTTAAATACATATAAATTTTATTGTTAAAAAATCTTAAAGATTTTATAATCTAGTTTACATTGAAAATTAAGCAATTTGACTCTTGTAAGTCGTACCATATAATACAAAATGAAATTAATAGTATTATTCTTTATAAATTTTACTAACGATTCAAATATATTTGTACTCTAGCAGATTATTTGGTTATGAGAAAAGTTATGCAAGCATTAATAATGTAGGGCTGCAATGTAAAAAAATGATGCAAATATTAATAATGTAGGACTGCATGGTAGAGATTAATAAATCAGGGATTGATAATGCATGAATAACTTTTCTTGGACAACGTATAATTTGGAACATGTGTTTGTTCATCTTTTTTTTTTAAAGCTGCTTAATACATGAGGGCTATTCTTGATATTTTAGATGTTTGTTTTGATGCATATATTACTAATTCTCCTATTCTTATTCTAATTTTTATTTTGTATAAATAATACTCCCTGCGGTTCACAATAAGTGACTTTTTGGCCTTTGGCACACCCCTTAACAAAATACTAATTTCTAGAAAAAAAAAGTATCTTGACTATATTACCCTTAACTAAAATTTGTATATTGTTAACTTGACACATTGGGATACGTAAATAAGGGCAAATTTGACAAACTAAAGATAATTTATTCTTGATTATGTAAAAAGGACACTTATTTTGAACCAAAATAAATAGGCGAAAAAGTCACTTATTATGAACCGGAGGGAGTATATAGATTTTTGGCATAATTTATAGAACTATTATTTAGGGTGAAGTGCAACAATAACCACTTTTAACCCTATTATTTAAAATATCTCCACAATTTATAATGTATTTAAACATTAGTCATTTCACCAATTTAGGACTTAGTGTCCTGAATTTTTGAGCTGCTAATTTGACAGGACACTTGTGTCCTGAATTTCTGAACTACTAATTTAAATTTCATGACATAAGATTCGAACTCCAGGACACAATTTTCGAACTTTAGGACACAACGTCCTAAAATTTGAATTTTGAGGTTTAAACTCTAGAATGTTGTGTCCTGAAGTTTGAGCGAAATTGACTAATCTTTAAATACATTGTAAACTATAAATACATTTTAAATAACATGCTTAAAAGTGGTTACCCGGTATCATTTCCACTATTATTTACGCAGACAACAAAATGACAACTAAACACTGCATTGGGGGCTCGATTGGTTTCATGTACTCCTTTATTTCCATTTATGTCGCTATGTTTTATGAGATTTTATGAAAAAGAAAAGAACTAAACAAAAATAGACTTATGCCATGGTCTTAAACATGTTAAAAGTTTCTGTAAAGTGCTTTTGGGCTATTTGTAGCCCAAATTTAGTAAAAATAGTACGGGCTAGCCAGTTGTCGGATTGGTCATTTAAAAATAGCTAACATTTACAAAATCATTGAAAAGTAGCCACTATATTGCTGCAACACGGAAAGTAGCATAATATACTGGAGATCGGTGCACATGTGTATGAACTTCTAGCATATTATGCTGGAACTCCAATACGCGGAAAGTTCTAGTATATTATGCTGGACCGATATATTACACTGGATTCTGGATTTTGAATTGTGTTTTCGTTCAGATTTATCTTTACATGAAAAATAGCTAAATTGCGATTACTTTTGAAACTGTGACTATTTTTGAAGGCAAAAATTCAAAAATAGCCAGATTTACAAGTGGTCATTCGAAAATAGTCACAGTTTCAAAAGTAATCGAAATTTATCTACTTTCATGTAAAGATAAATCTAAACGAAAATATTGTTCAAAATCCGGAAAATACTCCAGCATAATATACTGGAGTTCCAGCATAAGTATACTGGAACTCCAGCATATTATACTGGAGTTCCAGTATGATATACCGGTCCAGTATAATATGCTGGAAGTTCATACACATGTGCTCAAATCTCTAGTATATTATGCTGTAACTTTCCGCGTGTTGGAGTTCCAGCGTAATATGCTGGAAGTTCATACACAAGTGCATCGATCTCCAGTATATTATGCTGGACCGATCCCTGTTACACCAAAATAGTGGTTATTTTTTATGATTTTGTAAATACGGACTATTTTTGAATGACCAGTCTAAAAAATAACTAGCCCGTACTATTTTTATATTTTTAAATGACGACTTGTAACTCGAGCTATTTTTGAATTTCTCCCTAAAATTTATGGCCAAAGGCGAACATAATAAAGTGCTTTTCAAATCTGTTGTATAAGTACGAGTGTGTCTATTCGCCTATTTAATAAAGTAATTTTTTGATATGTAAAACAGTACTACTACAGAGTACAGACTACAGACTAGCATGCATTTTTGAAAAACTCAGATTTCATTCTGTCCTTCGATAAATGAGCTCGATTTTTTAACAGCTTTATGAAAAAATTACTTTCCTTATCCAGCTAACATCTTTCTTGCTTTTGTAATCAACAAATTGAATCATAAATGTTTCATGGTATTAGTATTACAATTTACAGAGTGCCCTGACATGAAAAATCCCTCTGTTTTTCATTCCTTTTTTAACTTTCCATGTTTCCGTACCAACTCTATTGAAGTTTCCAGCCTGAATTCTTTCATTTACTTATGTCTAATACAACCAAAAGAAAAAAAAAAATATTTTCTCTACAGCCATGAAAATTCCTCCAAAGAAACCTCATTTTTTCAAACCTATTCTGCCGGGGTTCAAACATGGACTTGTAAGTTTTACTTTTGGTCAGTTGTTTCATCTTTTTCCTTTAATTTCTCTGTTGAATATATAATTTTTGTTATATGTATAATATCTGACACAGACAAGAGGGGTTGCTCTAATGGTAAGCACGCTCCACTTCCAACCGAAAGGTTGTGAGTTCGAGTCACCCCAAGAGCAAGGTGAGGGACTTCTTGGAGGGAAGTATGCCGAGGGTCTATCGAAAACAGCCTCTCTACCCAGGGTAGGGGTAAGGTCTGCGTACACATTACCCTCCCCAGACCCCACTAATGAGATTACTTCTTGTTGTATAATATCTGACATAGGTAGATTCAGAATTATGAATTTTATAGGTTCAACTTTCAAGTTCTTACCATTGGACACATTGTAGTTTTAAATTTATGAATTCAAAATGTAATCTTTGTTGAAATTTTAGTTAGTTTTCTCACGGGGAGTATATGTTTACAGTGTCAACAATACTAGTTTCAGTTGAAACCCTAAAAACTAATTAAGCTTCCATTTCAATATAGAGTTAAACTGTGTGAAGTTTGACTAATATTTTAAAATGCCTTTTTTTATCGTATTGATATGAGAAAAATTACAACTTATTGTATTTTTCGTGTAGTTTTTGAATATCGAAATTTTAATTTTAAAAGATTGAGTTGAACTAATTTAATTTAGTTTCAAAATTTAGTCAAATTAACTCTCGATAAGCTAAATATGTCTAAATTGAAACATAAGGAGTACTAAAGATTAAAAGCATAATGTGCTAAATGAATAATCTTTAATTGATTATTGTGTATATCATTTTGTGACAAAGCTTATTCTGATTATCCATATTTGTGGTATATATCTACTGCAGAAAATTCCTCGTGGTTTCTTGAAGTATCTGAAGGGACATGAAGATATTGAACATGCAGTATTGAGAAGGGTTAGTAAGCAGTGGCAGGTGAAGGTGAACGGCCGACGACTTGAAGATGGTTGGGAAAAGTTTGCAGAGGAGCATGATTTGCAGTTAGGAGATTTGTTGGTGTTCAGACATGAAGGGAACATGGAGTTTGAAGTTTCCATATTTGATTCAAGTCACTGCGACAGAGAATATTCGGAGTATTTGCAACAAGAAGAAGAAGAAGAAGAAGCCAATAATGTTGAAGAGACTTCCAAGAATCTTGAATTTGAAGGTGAAGTTCTTTATGTTCTCAACCTTCTTTTTTCAGATTTTATGTTTCTGTTAGTTATGGAAGTTATTTCCTGATTAGTATTATTTATTTATCGTGTACTGATGCATAAACAGAATGATGCTTATTTGATAGAAGTAAAAACAAGTAGGATATATTGAAGGAGAAACTAAAGTGATGAATTCCCTTAATATTGTCTGTTTTTTTAAATGAAATTTGTAATATTTAATTTCTTGAAGATACAAATTAAACAACTATGCCTCAATCCTAAGTTTGGATCGACCATATGAATCCTCACCATCCATGTTGTGCCATTTAAGCCATTCAAGAAATTTAATTTTCTAACAATGTAACAGAGCGACCGAGCCCCAGCATCGAGTTGTCAGACCATGCAGAAGCTGCTACTCACAAGCCTTTTGGTCATTCTAGTTTTGTTTGCACCATCAAACCATATTGCCTTACATACGGTTTCTTAGTAAGTCTCAAAACTCATTAATTTCGCGCAAACTCTTCAAAAAGCTTCAGGCAAAAGGAAGCATTTGCACCATTTTTCGTATTTTTATCTTTGTTAAGTGAAAATATTAAGAACATGAACTTTTTAGTGATGTGTGTAAATGGTTATCCCCGTACAGTATGTTCCTAAACATTTCGCATCGGCAAATGGTTTCAAGACAAACAAGAAGTGCAGTCTGATCATAAAAGATGAAAGGCAAAACTCGTGGACTTTAAGGTTAAGTTGTTGTAAAACTCAAGTCTACATTGGAGATGGCTGTCGTAAATTCGTTGCTGATAATTGCTTAAAGGAGGGAGATCGTATTATGTTTGAGGTTGTTACTGATGGAGAAATACCTGTATGGAAATTTCATGTTGTTACTGATGCAGAAACTCCAAGGCAGAAGTTTCAAAGCAAGTTTCCTCATATCATGTTATACTATTGATATGTTCTTTTGTCCATGAACTACTTTTTTCAAATATTTGACATGACTTTTTATGTAATTAGAAAATGCTACAGAAAAACCAGAGCCCAACATCATGTCATCACACAAGGTTTTCCCTGATGCAGAAGCGTGTAAGGATGTGCCTCTGGGTCGCCCTCATTTAATTTCTACTGTCAAACTGTTGCGGAAGCCAAATGTATATAGTGTGAATAAGTCACAACTATTATACCAAAAATTATGACAGCCACCAAATAATAAATAAGACAATAAAACAACAATAAAGGGAACACCAGAATTTACGAGGTTCGGCTAATTTTGCTTACTCCTCGGACACAACCAATATTTTATTTCACTCCAAAAATACAAGTGAAATAATACTAAAGAGAGAAGATACAAATGCCTTAAACAAATGAGAAGGCAAATGAGAGGTGTGTTTAAATCCTAAACATTAAGCCTTCTTTTATTGGGGGAAAATCCCCCCAACTTTTGTTTTCCCACCGATGTGGGACAAACATTTTGCCAATTTCAACAAATCTCCACCTTGGCAAAATTCCACATCTTCAATTTTCTCTCAATAACAAATTTTGGTTGTGTCTTCATCTTCAATCTTCAGTGTTCAACAATGTTGATCAAATCCAAACAATGTTGAAACTTGATCGCAGTCACCACCTTTGTCAGCATATCAGCAGGATTCTCCGTAGTATGAATTTTCTTCACTGTGACTCCACCTTCTTCTATGATTTCTCGTACGAAATGATACCGAACATCAATGTGCTTCGTCCTTGCATGATAAACTTGGTTCTTCGCTAATTGAATAGCACTTTGACTATCACAAAAAATTGTGATTCCTTTTTGTTCAACACCAAACTCCTTTAGCAATCCTTGAAGCCAAATTGCCTCTTTCACAGCCTCTGTAACAGCCATGTACTCTGCCTCTGTTGTAGACAAAGCAACTGTTGACTGCAAAGTAGACTTCCAACT